TTTTGAGCATGTGTTTGATTTCTCGTCCAAAATCCCCCCATAGAAGGACACGCCCGACCTAAACGTACCCTCGTCCTGCTCTCTCGTCCTGCGCAGGGGGGCGACCGAGGCCAGGAGAAGAAACGCTCCCTGCGGCGCTCGACCAGCGGCGTCGATCCGCGTCGCCGCCGCTCGACCGCGGGCAGCACCCTGAGGCAGGACAGACGCACGCGCAGCGCTTGCAGTTCACAGAGTTTTTTCCGTGGGCGGCGAAGGCATAATCTCGAAGAAGAGGAAGCGCCATGAGCATAAACTTTTGACGCCCCGCGCGGATTTCTTGGATCCGCGCCGGGCCCCCCGGCGGCGCCTCCGGCGCTGCCCCTGGCGCGCTCCGCGCGCCGGGGAGGGGGTCCAGCGCGAATCCAAGAAATCCGCGCGGAGCGCCAAAAGTTTATGTCTATGTGTTTTTTCTTCTTCTAGCATAATCGTCATTTTGAGCGTTCCGGAAAGGCTCCCCGTCTTCATGGGATCGATAGGCTGGCATCAGGCACAGTATTGCTCGTCTCGTGTACCCCACACGCCTTGTTCCCCGTCTTCGTCCTCCACCTGCTGTTCCACCTCCGTCTCATCTTCCTCCTTGTCATCATGTCTCTTATCATATTCATCCTTCTGTTCATCCGACCGTGGGTAAAACTCAGAGCTAGTGTTCCCTCTTTCTCTAATCATGTGTTTTATCATGAATAATAGTATTACCATTACGACAATAATTCTTCAGATGGGCATTATGTTTTATATTCCAGTTCTATATAATTGGTGTTTGTTCTAGCATTATTAGTATTATTCGCACTATTCGTGTTAGTATTCGCATTCTTGCTAGTATTTCCATTATCAGTACGATCAATAGTAGTATCCGAAGTGTTATTGTCCGTATCATTGCCCTTGCTATTAGTGTTTGTATGATTCAATTGTTATTGTTGGTGTTATTACGAGTAGTTGTAATGATAGTTTTCGTATCGCTCGCATTCGTGTTATTATTGTGACTATCATTATGGCAGTTGTTGCGGTTACTGTTGCTAGCATCTGTCTCTTTCCCTCATCAGCTCTCCTTTCATCCTCTCATCTTACCCTCGGCTTAGGTGTACGCCTTTTTCGCAGCGGCAACAAAGAATCCGCTGTCGATGCAGTGGATTTGGATGGTAGATCCCTGACTTTGTTGACTCTGGTCTGGGTATTCGTGGTGAACTGCTCGTCATTCATGACTATGTTCAAAGACTTGTCGCGATGTCTGAGACTCCCTGGTCGTGATACCCACTGACACAGCCTTGAGCATGCAGTGACTCGTAGCCTGCATGCTGCACGGTGTCTCCGCCTCCCCATCCCCCTCTCTCACTTCCCTCCTTCCCCTCCCAGTTCCATCCGCCTCTCCCGCCTTTAACTGCCTCATCCATCTTCATCATCTCCTCGTCCTCCTCCTTCCACCCCAGGCCTCACTCGTGTTCTCTCTCTCTCTCTCCTGAGCACCTCCAGGGTGTGCCCTTTCCCAGATCCGTGCTTCGGTGCGGATCGTCTTCGCGCCTCGTCTCGTCGTCGTTGACGTTGTTGTGGTCGTGACGCGTGCTGCTCTGCTCGGCCTCATTCACCTTTTGTGCGGACCTCATCCCCCCCCTCCTCTTGCTTCTCCTCCTCGCAGCTTCGCCCGCTGACAGCCCCGCGCGCTCCGCTCTGGCGCCAGCCTCTGGCTCGACCCCTGGGCGCGCCCTCGGTGTGCTGCCGCTCCTCGCGGCTTCGCCACCTCCCCTTCGCGTTCCTTGCCTTTCTCGGTCCTTGCCGGCCTGGACAGCCTCGGCGGCTCCGTTCGCCACCGTGAGATTCGATGAGATTCGGGCCCGCCGGGGGGTCATCGCGAGCACCGTGGGCGTTGCGCCCCCGTCCCCGCTCCCCATCTCCTCCTCCAGCCCCCACCCTCCATTTGCCCTCCGTCCCTCCTCCTCCTCCTCCTCCTCCTCCTCCTCCTCTTCCATGGAGGGCAGGTGGTTTTCGAACTGAGGCTCTCGCTTGAGCGCCACGCACATTCGTTTGACATATTTACAACAGCCTCTTGGATGGAGGGCAAGTGGTTTTCAAAACGTGGCTCTCGCATTGGCGCTGCGTATACTCGTTTGAAAATTCTGCAGTAGTTTTAAGGATGGGGGGTGGCTCCTTCTCAAAATGTGGCTCCCGCCCTAAATAGCGCCGCGCGTACTTCTGCATTAAAAGCTTACAGCAGTTTCAAGGAATCGAAGGGTTGAAGTCCCGGGAATGGCGTCCTGGTGCGGTTTAGGAAGGACGCACAGTCATGTTGATTCGCGATGCTGAAGTCCCAGGAATTGTTCTGGTACGATTAAGGGTTGTCTGGACGCAACAATCACGTCGTTGATTCGCGGAGTCGAAGTCCCAGGAATCGTGTTTTGACGCGATTGAGGATTATCCGACGTCTGTCTTTCCATGGGGCAGCCAGCAATGAAAATCAATTGCTGCAGGGACCTGAAAGGAGGGAACTTGGAGAGAGGATGAATGTGCGGGAAATGCCCGGCCCCCCTCCGCTTACCTGCTTTTTACGCACAGGATTCCCGGGACTCGGGTTTTCGCTTGTGTTTTTGTTCAAAAATGCTGCTCTTGCTGAAGCGCTGGCTTCATTTTCGGGCTACCGCTCGATCGGAATCGTGCTTCCGCTGCAGCGCTGGCCTCATTTCCGCGCTTCCGCTCGTTCTGAACCGTGCTCCCGCTGCAGCGTTGGCGTCATTATTTCCAGCGACATGCCACGGCATGGTTTTCGGTCTTTCCAAATAGGCACCAAATCTAGAAGATGGCCTTCCGAAAAAACCATTGGAAGTGATTACGCATTCGGTCTCGATTCGCCGCAGAAGCCCCCACCCCCACCTCGATGTGGCGTCCCTTTCAGGAAGTATCAAGCGGGAGCCCCGCTTCTGATTTGAGAAGGCGATGTTGCAAGCAGAGCCAGCGGGTGCTCTCCATCAGCCCCGAGTTGTGGGGAACTTTTCGGGGAGCCCAGGGAGCTAAACATGGAGCCGCGACCCCAGACCGGCCCAGACTCGTCGAAGACGATCCACTGACCCTCCAAGGACCCCGGCGCCATGCCCTGACATACTGTGCAGTGTTGAGTTCTGCGCCGCTGTGCGATGCCATGTTTTGTGTTGCAATGCTTTGTGATGCAATGTTTCACTGCACAATGTCATGCCATGCTATGGCATGCTTCGCTCTGCCGTGCTCTTCTACGCCATGCCATGCTGTGCTCTACCATGCATCGCGTACCCTCTCGCGACCATCGCCCTGCTCGGCATCCGACCGTGCGAAGCAAGAGGAGATCTACGCCATCGTAAGGCATGGGAGAGAGGGGTAGGACGTCAGACATGACGCGAGCGCACCTGGCTTGTCCACAACCCCTCTCCCCCGACTTCTCCCTCCCCTCCCTCGCCTCCCCCTCCCGAAGGCGCGGTTTCTTCCGTGTGCGGCCCCCGAGCTCCCCTCCCTGCACGGGCAGCGTTCGCCCCGGCTCCGCTGTTGCTGGCCCCCAGGGCCCGACCACCAGAGGCCCCAGAGGCCGAGGCTCCGAAGTCTAAAGCCGGGCCCGCCTCGCCTCGGCCCAGTGCTCACCGGCCACCCCTTCTCGTCATCCTCGTCGCTGTCCGCCCCTTCTCGTCGTCGCCGCTCCTTCGCACGCGCCCGGAGCGCCCCGGATCGGCGGCACCGGCCGGAGGCCATTGCATCCGGTCGTCGGGGGTTCGGGGTCCCTCCCGCCAGAGCCAGGCGACGTGAAGTCCGGCAAGGCGTCGGGCTTCGCACGGGCGGCCTCCCCGGGGAAGTGCCCCCGCGGGCCTCCACGGGCCCCCCCCCCCCCTGGGCGGCCCAGAGCGGCCGCAACGCCTCCCCCCCCCCTCCCCGGGACGCGGAGCGCCCCCTGGGGCCAGGCCGCAGGAGGCGGTGCCAGGGTGCCGACGCCGCCCAGGGCTGCTCGGCGGGCCTGTTAACACACGCTATAGGGATCCTGGGCTGGCCGTCTGCGCGCAGACCGAAGCCCGGAGATCCAACGCATGGAACAAATTTCAAGACGGAGGTTTTTCGTAGTTTTCAACCATTATAGGTGCGCTCGCCGGGCCACGGGACCGTCAGAAAACGATTCAGGATGAAGAGCTGGTCCTGGGGAGTCGGTCGAGACTTCCAGGGACCCCGTACATATTGAACAACGTCACGACATCGGATCTCTGGTAGTCTTGCCAGTGAAGTCGAGTGCCTCTCCTCCCTGCCGCTGGCCCTTGCCGCTAGGAGGCCGGGCTGTCCAGACGGCCCGGCCGGTCGCGCATGGCGACCGAACGTTTCTAGCTCGCTCGTTCGCTCCCCCCCCCAGCCGACGCTTCAACAAAAATGGAGTCGCCGTGAAAATTCGAGCCTGGAGCCCTAGAGACCCTATCTTTCTGCGTCATTGTTCGAGCCGGATCGATCTGTCAGGGTCCCGGGGCCCGAAGTTATGCGAAAACGCCCGGCTTGGAAAAATTGAATTGCCAGGATCTCAGGGAAGGGCACCTTCCCCAGACGCTCAACGTGCTTGCTGGAACGAAACAAGACGGAGGTTTTGCGTCGTCTGCGGCCTCTGGGGCCCCCAGGGCCCGGTCGACCGTCCAAAGGAAAGGGTCCGGGGCGAGAAGCCCGTCCTCAGGAAGCGGCCCAGAGCTCCAGGGGACCCCGTGTGGCGGAATCAGCGCATCGTCGGAGGTCTGGGTCCGATCCGCTTCGAGGTCGAGTTCGCCGGGCCTCTGTCCGATTCGGTTCCGGTGCGGCCGGGTGCCTGCGCGGCGCGGCTGCGCATCCTGGCGCGGCCGGTCGGATGCGATTCGGTTCTCCGTGCCGATGCAGCTCGGGCCGATGGTCCGATGTCGCGATTCTGTGCTGCCCGCTCCTGCCCGGCTGCCCCAGCCCGCCTCGGGGCCCTCCTTCTCCGCCCCCGCCTCCTGGTCCGCTCCCAGGAGCTGGAGAAGAACCTGCAGGAGAAGGCCCCTCCCCGGGCCAGATGGGGCGGAGCACCGCAAGGAGCTCTCTTCTAGGTCTGATGGGCGTGGGGTGCAGGAGGAGGACAACGAGGACGACGCGGAGGAGGAGGAGGAAGAGGAGGAGGAGGAGGAGGAGGAGGAGGTGGCGGACAACGAGGTGAAGGAGGAGGTGAAGGAGGAGGAGGAGGAGGAGGAGGAGGAGGAGGAGGAGCGACGACTAAAACGGGGTCGTTTTCACCGACATTGGCGCGCAAGCTGCCTGCGTAAGGTAGCGCGTGAGGCGCGCGCTGGCGGCCCGCGTAAGCCACCGCGTAAGGTCGCTACGCCATCTCGCGCAAGACCCGTTTCTTTTCGTCGCTCGTGTGAAGACACGAAGGGGGGGAGGTGGTGTGGTGCAGATCTGGTTCTAGAGGAGAAACGGTAAGGTCAACTGTTCTGAAGGATTTGGATTAGAGTAGTGTCCACTGCAATGGCGGAGCGCAATCATACCCACGCCCATGCTAGTTAGTCCTTCTAACCTCATCGCGTCCGAAGGGTCCCATCTTGCCAACGAACAGTAACATGCACCTGTTGTCCGATTGTTGAGGGTTTCGCCGATTTGCTCGCTGAGAAGGTCCTCCAAGTTAGTGAACTCATGTGCGCATCTTGATTTGGCATTGATGAGCATTGGCAAGTGCAGCAAATCTGACATAATTGCAAGCTGTAGTAATCATTGTCTTGTACATATTTTTCATACCTCGTCTCTGAAACATTTAGAGGGCCACTGGTTTTTGCATGAGTGCGCGCGTGGCACGCATCGTGTAAGTTCGGAGGGAATCGCAACATACACCGAAGCACGTCCGCCGCATAGTATCGCTGACGAATTACAAACGGAACATGCAGGAGTCGGATGGGGAGGGTCACAGAATGTTGTCATGCCGTTCTCAGGATGGACGCGGTTTCGAGACAAATACTACAGGCAAAGGGAAGTGGGGAGGGCGTGGCGAAACGGGCTGGCACGGCCATTAGGAGAGAGCAATCATCAGCACGATGTCGGGCTCTATTAGTAGAGGTCGATCTTGGCTATTCCCGTGGTTTACTGGCTGTACACATGGAGTATTGCGGATGTCTCAATGTTTATCTTTGTATATCACTGGATTTCCATTCCTAGTGTCAACATTTATCCCTAACACCCAAGCGGAATTCGAATACCTACTTATTCCAATCCTTATGCCGAATCTCGAATCCTAACTTATCCTTTGGAGTCAACGCTAATACTATACACTCCGTTGTTGTCTGATGAGTTCTACTGTGGCTAGATCGACCCAGATCACTTTTACGATGACCACCAGATGAGGTGCACGAGCTCTAGGAGCCTCCGTACGTGAGCAACCTGAGGGTGCGACGGTGTGTCAAAAATTATAGCCGGAGTGCAGTATCCCCAAACAGGGTTTTTAGACCCACTGCGGTTTCCAAGGTCGATTGCGTGCCCGTCCAGTGCGGGCTGGCATGGCATGTTAAAACATGCCTCCTCCTCCTCCTCCTCCTCCTCCTCCTCCACCTCCTCTTCATCCCGAACGGCATCTCGGAGCCCAGAGTTGCGAGGATGTCTCCAGCGTAACGGGCTGGACCACCTCGCGCGCGGCATTTCGGACCCCAGAGTTGCAAGGATGTCTCAGGCAAAACGTGCTGCGAGGAAGACTCAGGCGAAACGGGCCGGACCACCTCGAGCGCGGCGGCTCAGAGCTCCGAGTTGCGGGGGCCTCCTGGGGCCTCCTGGGACCTCCTGGTGACCTCCTGGGGCTTCCTCTTGGGCCTCCTGTGGCCTCCTGGACCCCACCTGGGGCTTCCTGAAGCCTCTTGGGGCTCCCAGGGGGGGATATCTAACATGTGGCCGTCGGGGCCCTCCAAAATGGGGAGGGGGCCACAAGAGCAGGAAAAATCAACGAATCGACACCGGATGTGTATTAACTTGACACGTTCTGATAGGGGACCTCCTAGGGCCTCCTGGGAGCCTCCTGGGAATCTCTTGCGGACCCTTGGGGCCTGTCCTGGGCGTCCTGCGGTCTCCTGAAGCTCTCTGGGGCCTCCTGGGGCTCCCAGGGTCCCAGGGGGATATGTAACATGTGGTCTTCTGGGCCCCCAGGCTGGACCACCTCTTGCGCAGCATCTGAGAGCTCAGAGTTACGAGAATGTCTTGTGCGAATCGGGCCAGACCACCTTGCGCACGGCATCTCAGAGCTCAGAGTTGCGAGGATGTCTCAGGCGAGATGGGCCGGACCACCTCGCGCAGGGCATCTCGGAGCTCAGAGTTGCGAGGATGTCTCAGGCGAAACGGGCTGGACCACCTTGCGCGCGGCATCTCGGACCCCAGAGTTGCGACGATGTCTCGGGCGAAACGTGCTGCGAGGAAGTCTCAGGCGACACGGGCCGGACCACCTCGAGCGCGGCGTCTCTCTGGGGCTCCCAGGGTCTCAGGGGGGATATGTAACATGTGGTCTTCTGGGCCCCCAGGCTGGACCACCTCTTGCGCGGCATCTGGGAGCTCAGAGTTGTGAGAATGTCTTGTGCGAAACGGGCCGGACCAACTTGCGCACGGCATCTCAGAGCTCAGAGTTGCAAGGATGTCTCAGGCGAGACGGGCCGGTGTCTCGGGCGAAACGTGTTACGAGGAAGTCTCAGGCGAAACGGGCCGGACCACCTCGAGCGCGGCGTCTCAGAGCTCCGAGTTGCGGGGGCCTCCTGGTGCCTCCTGGGGCCTCCTGGGGACCTCCTGGGGCTTCCTCCTGGGCCTCCTGTGGCCTCCTGAACTCCACCTGGGGTTTCCTGAAGCCTCTTGGGGCTCCCAGGGGGGATATCTAACCTGTGGCCGCTTGGGCCTCTCAAAAAGGAGGGGGGTCACAAGAGCAGGAAAAATCAACGAATCGACACCGGATGTGTATCAACTTGACACGTTCTGATAGGGGGCCTCCTGGGGCCCCCTGGGAGCCTCCTGGGAATCTCCTGCGGACCCCTGGGGCCTGTCCTGGGCGTCCTGCGGCCTCCTGGAGCTCTCTGGGGCCTCCTGGGGCTCCCAGGGTCCCAGGGAGGATATGTAACATGTGGTCTTCTGGGCCCCCAGGCTGGACCACCTCTTGCGCGGCATCTGGGAGCTCAGAGTTGCGAGAATGTCTTGTGCGAAACAGGCCGGACCACCTTGCGCACGGCATCTCAGAGCTCAGAGTTGCGAGGATGTCTCAGGCGAGACGGGCCGGACCACCTCGCGCAGGGCATCTCAGAGCTCAGAAGTTCGAGGATGTCTCAGGCGGGCTCCCAGGGTCCCAGGGAGTATATGTAACAGGTGGTCTTCTGGGCCCCCAGGCTGGACCACCTCTTGCGCGGCATCTGGGAGCTCAGAGTTGCGAGAATGTCTTGTGCGAAACAGGCCAGACCACCTCTTGCGCGGCATCTCAGAGCTCAGAGTTGCGAGGATGTCTCAGGCGAGATGGGCCGGACCACCTCGCGCAGGGCATCTCGGAGCTCAGAGTTGCGAGGATGTCTCAGGCGAAACGGGCCGGACCACCTCTCGCGCGGCATCTCCGAGGTCAGAGTTTCGAGGATGTCTCAGGCGAAACGGGCGGGACCACCTCGCGCAGGGCATCTCAGAGCTCAGAGTTTCGAGGATGTCTCAGGCGAAACGGCCTGGACCACCTCTCGCACGGCACCTCGGGGCTCAGAATTTCGAGGATGTCTCAAGCGAAACGGCCTGGACCACCTCTCGCGCGGCGTCCCGGAGCGCAACTTTTCGAGGATTTCTCAGGCGAAACGGCCAATCCCGGCCAACTCAGAAACGAGAATTGTGAGGATGTCTCAAGCGAAACGGCCCGGACCATCAAATTTTTGTGAGGATGTCTCTGCTCCGACTTCCCTCGGCCGGAGTTAGCTTCTATCACAACAGCACCCCGTTCAGCAAGCTGTTTGGGGAAAAAGCAGGTGGATGGGCCATCCGAGCTTTTGGCCAGCGCGTCAAGTGTAAGGAAGACAGCGACGGCGGCACAGACAGAACGCTTGCATCGAGCGCTACGATGGGACGACGACATTTTGCAAGTTGTTCCTGACCGCGTGCGGCTGCACCTACATTGCGACGCCACCTCGAGCCACAATCCCCGCCCCTACATTTCAATGTCGGTTTGAAGCGAGCACCCCAAGTCCTGGTGGACAATAATGCAAGCCAACATTTAATTGTTTTGAGTGGGAGTTCCTCAGAGATCGGTAGAATCTGATCCAAGTTGGCACGCTGTCACTCAGAACGATCAAGCAACTTGCGCTCAAGCAACTTGCGCTACTTGCTCTACTAGAGTCCGTAGCCTTTTTGGCTCAAGCCGTGTTTCTGGCCCCACTGAAAACGGCAAGGTGAGCGCCCTGCGCAGTACCCGCCGCGCCCCCAAGGATGGCGAGCCTCGCGGGCGTCCGCCTCCCAGCCGTCAGCGATCAGCTTCCGCGACCAAGGCCAGCGCTGGCGTGGGCGGAGGCATCCGGCGCAGCGCCCGCACCGAGGCCACCTTCGCACCCCGGGAGGGCCCGCGGGCGCCCCGACTCGGTCGAGCGGCTCCGGCGCCCCCCTCTGTGCAGACCGCCCGGCGGCCTCGGCAGGGCCACGCCGGGCTCCGACGCCTTCGTCTGCGGCAGGTTCCGTAGGCCCCTGGGGCTTCGTCCTCCCGAGCCTCCAGTCGAAGGAGGGAAAGCCACATACACATAAATTTTTGGCGCTCCGCGCGGATTTCTTGGATCCGCGCCCGGGCCCCCCGGCGGCGCCTCTGGCGCCGCCCCTGGCCCTGGCGCGCTCCGCGCGCCAGGGAGGAGGGTCCAGCGCGAACCCAAGAATCCCGCGCGGAGCGCCAAAAGTTTATGTGTATGTGTGTTCTTTCCTTCTTCTACGTCAAGCACCTTCCCGAGGTGGAGCGGCTCGTCACGGGGCTCTCCGATCCTCGCCCCGGCAGCGGCACGCCCGACTGGCACGCCGCGGCGGAGTTCACGGCGCCCGA